ACAGTGTGCAAATTAAAATGTTGTCTAATACTCTTTATATTGTTTTTTTATTTTAAATAATAAATGAGCCACGGATGAACGATGGATCCAAGATTTTGCTGAGCGATCTCCGTAAATGATTTAATTCCCTCTACCTGAAACGAGGTTTTCGGTTACTCGGCATCAGAATTATTATTGTATCCGTCGAAAAGTTTGTTCACCGACGATGTGACAATGACTGTATTAATATTCGTAAGCTGCAGTGACAGATGCGGAAGAGTAAAATAAATTTATAATCACCCAGATTCTTTAAAAAATATTTTATTGTTGTTATTTGTTTGTCTGTAAAATAATATGAAATATGTGGGAACATAAAGTTTATTTTTATCCCTTCCCCTGCTAGCTTGTATAATTTATCATTTAATCGGACATTTAGAAATGGGAAACCACAACTAATGACTACCTATAACAATAATAATAATAAACTCGTACTAAACAAGAATAATTATTCGTTTGTATAAAAAAAAATCCCGATGAGAAATTCATTTTAAAAAATGTGGTACAATATCATTATATTTTACTATTTAATATTGTAAGAAATCTAATTTTTCACACTTTACAATCATTTTTGAGATAATTTCCTAAACACTGCAAATGTGAACACAAATGAAAAATGTCGGTAGTTTTTTTTATTATTCTTATTTCTGCTCAGAAAACAGTTTAAAATATAAATTCAATACCTAACCTTACTGCCAGTGAGAAACGATGAACACTTTTTCGTATTAATTTAAGTTAAAGTTCTATGATATCTCACCAATAGTGTATTACCGCTATGTGTTTATATTAAGTTTAGTACGAGTGAGAAACGAAGATAACAAACGTACACGCCATGTTTAGTTAGTTTATACTTATATAGGTATATAATATTATGTATATTGAATTGGTATCCTTTCACATAGTTTTTTTATACGTTGTTACTAGGCATAGTAGTTTTGAACGAAGCCGAATGACGTTGTTCAATTAATGCTATTTGATTTTCCAGTTAATCTCAAGTGCCCAGAGAGATTGAGTTACGGAATATTGGAATAACCGGAATTAGGTACCTAAACTTAGGTTTCTAAACTTATGCAACATATTATAATATAATATTAAATTATTAACTTATTGTAATATAACAATGTAAATAATTCACATTTCAACTGGTTTAAATAAATTGTTTTCACATTTTTAAATTGAAAGTAAATTGTTAGGTTTTGATTGTTAAGTGGTTCACCTAGAATTATTATTTTTAATTAAAACATTTCTAGTTCTATTGATTAAAATAAAAGATCATGATAAACAATATAGACAATAGTGTAATAATATATTGGATTATTATGTTTATCTGTATACTTATGAGTTATGACCTGTCGGTTGTTACTTTTTATTTACATACAGAGTGATCCAACACGTATGCTCACCCCCCTCTTTTTCTTTAATAATGAAGTTTTTCAAAATCTGATTTTTGGAATCTTCAAATATACTCAAAGACCATATTTTCATATTCTTGAGATTTTCAAATGAGAACCCGCTTTCTTTTCTTTAAATTATTTAGCGGATAATATTTTTGAGGATTTTGGTATATCGAAATCAAAATTTGAAAGAGTGGTTTCCTAGTTATTGGACAATTTGTACTAAGAATAATAGTCCATAATAGGGATATGCTTATACAGTTCTACACATGGAATAAGAAAAATAACTAAATAAACCAAGTAGGATCTTACTTGCTATTTACCTAAGTGTTTGACTTAATAAATATAAAATGACGTATTATTTTATATTATGTGCATAAACACTATAAACTATAGATAACAACGTATACTATGTAAGCATATCCTTCTTCCCTATTATAAAGTATATTATGCTTAGCACAAAATGTATAATAACTAGAAAACTACTTGTTCGAATTTTGATTTCAATGCATCAAAATTCTCAAAAAAATTATCCGCTAAATAATTAACAGTAAAAAAGTGGGGTTCCCATTTGAAAAACAAAAGTTTGTATCACCACATGACACTTCTTAAGTGGTACAAAAAATCTCAAGAATATGAAAATATGGTCTTTGAGTATATTTAAAGATTCTAAAAATCAGATTTTGAAAAAATTTAATTATTAAAGAGGAAAAGGGATAGCATACTTGTTGGATCACCCTGTATTCAATATGTGACTATTTTTTTTTCTTACTGTATCATTTTTGCTATATCGTGGGAGGTTGTCATAAGGCTGTTTTAACAAATTGACTTCAAGAATTTCATACTTGACACTCAGTTTCTCTGTAGAATTATTATAGTTAAACAATTTTTTATATTAGACTTTCTTATCTCGTTGTAGTTAATTTGTTTTGAAAAAACTAAATGCAAATCCAATTTTCAACTATTTTTAATCTTTTATGCTTTTGGAGTGGAAAATGTTGTTGTGTAAACATCGAGTATATTGATTTTATATTAATATAGTTTATAATTTATAGTAAAAGTATACAATAAATTCCCTGCCATCGAACTCCTCTTATCTGAACTTTAAATGATTAAAATTTATAATGCAACAAACCAAAGGTTCAATATTTATACATCAAAATCATAAAAAAAAATATTATTCTTGTATGCTTGAAATGAAAGTAGATATTTAAAATTTTGTTTGTAAATCAATATGTTTAAAATGGGACTAAGTTTAGTCAGTGCACAATTACTTCTGTAAACCAAAACATTCTATATAGGTAGTAAAAATACGGCATTTTCAATCTGTAACCTCTTAAACGTGGGTTGATCTAATTCGTATATTATAGTCGTATATAATACTATTAATAGTAATTTATATTATATTATAATTTATAACTTTTTTTAATTCATAATTCATAATACATAACAGAACTTGGCTACGATATACGGAATACTCTAAGACGATAAATATTTAAAAAAAGTTTAAAACCTGAGATCCACTAACCGAAAAAATAAACTAATATTCTGATAAAAAAAGCAATAAATCACTTTAATTTAGTAGAGATAAAAAATAAAAATCAAACTCGGCAATTCGTAAACAATACAAACATATATTTTTAAAAAATATTCGATGTTGTAGAATTGAATATAATATTATAATGTAATATATTCGATTTCCAACGTGTGTTATATCCTAAAACAACGAGCCTCAGTCCAAGTTTGAATCCGTAAAAAGCAAGCTTAACCCTTATAAATGTTGACCATTATCCAAGCTTACTGTATTAAGATGGCGGTAGTCTTAAGATTATATATATATATACATACCTACTGACTCAAAACATTCTTACTCAATGTCTAATATATATATATATATTATATTATAGGATGCCATGTATTTTTATTTCGCAGTGTATTGTTTTGTTTTGCCACTATAATCTCTTTCTCTCGTTGCGTCTTAGACGGAATTTACGCGGTTGCACTAGAAAATAAAATATTTCGCCGACTACACTGCAGTGTATAGCAGTACTGAGTACATACTATATATATAATATATTATATTCAATGCTGAACACAACTTTGGTTTTTTTTTCATTCATAATACAAGCCTTGTAAAGAGAATATTTTATATTTGAACATTTTTCTATATTTTTAATTTCAGTGCAAACAGATGATTATAATAACTGTACTAAGTACCTTTTTTTAAGATTTCTATTTCAATAGCATTTTCGCAATATTTTATTATTTGAACCTATTAAATTATAACCAGAAACCACGTGATCCCAAAATATTTGTGTAATTTATAATATTATATGCTTCCCAAATCGAGAAAATGATTTTACCGTTTTTACAGCTTATTCGACCAAAAAATGTCGTAAATTAAACGTCTCTTTCTTTTACCTTTGTTATCTAATTCTATATGTTGTAACATTATTATCGAGTGTAGTGGCGGCTTACATTCACATTATTATTTTATACTGTAGAACGTTGAACACAGAACTATAAAAAACAAATATAAGTTTCTTCTATATTATATTGGTGGGTACAGCTGTGCTTTCGTCTTAACATCGAGTGGGCCGATATAAATCTTTAAGTAGGGTACTTATTACCATTGGTAGACGATTGTATAATATATATAGATAATAAACGTAAATATTTACACTGATTATATTGCAGATATGTCTATGATTTTGGAAAATAAATGTGTAAACCAAATCTAACCATGTTGGTATATAACTGCTGAACGCGAAACCGTCGAGTACGGTGGAGGGTTGAGATTTTTTCACCGTGAATCAGATTAGACTTTTTATATTTGCCCCAGGTAACAGGTACACAATAATATTTATATTTTATTGCAATGGTTGCAATAACCATGTTTTTTTTTTTAAGAACCCATAACTAAAAAGTATCTTGACAATTTACTTCCGGCTGTTAAGCCAGACTCTCAGTCCCACCGGAAAATTTGCATCCTTGTTTGTATATATTATACAACGCTTTATAGGTACCTACGCTTTGGTCATAAACCTCGGATTCACCGGGTGAAACGTTTAATCGCGTCTACAGGTATACCGAGTGCTTTGCAGACGGTTTACGACTTTGGTATTGCTATTCCATGGTGCGGCATAGAATTGCAAAAAATCCGCATTTGGGTGAGAAAAAACAATCAAGACAGCGGACAAAACAAATAATTTATTTAAAAAACATTCACTACTTTCCCCGTTCAGCAACTCGAAATAAAAAATAATATATATGTGAGTCCAGATAGTTAAGCACTACAATGAAACCTCAACTCGACGTTTTAGTATTCTAAATTCTAATTAGTCATCGAATCTATAGGTAATATTGTCTGCAGCATGTATACCACTTTCATATCTAAAACTAAAATATTGTAAATATTACATCCAACACCAAACCAGCAGTTTCAGAGATATCAGGAGTCCACTGTTTTTGATCATTATGTTGTTTTTTAAACTTCACTCGTTATTATAGATGAAAATTATTATATTATGTAGACGTACCTATTCGTGTTTGTGTTTTTATTTTTTGCAGGCACCGTTTGCATACCCTTGAACCACCTGTGCGCCGACACCGGGAGAGGTCACTTGAAGGTGCCGACCGCTCATTGGAGGCAAGCGAAAAAACACGGCATCGACAGCAGCGTTGGCGAGATGAGCAGCACCAGCTTCAGCAACACGGCAACGGTGGCGGGGGAATCGATTGCCATAACGAGTACACCGACCTACAACAAAAACAGCAGCATCAACTGCGGAGAAGGCAGCCAGAGGACCGGTCTAGGAAAAAATGCAAGTTCCGCATCCTGACGACAACCGTCACAAAAGAACGACGGGGACCGCGGTCTCCACCACCGTCGGTCGTCGGCGATCGATGTTACTACTCCGAGGAATGCTGCAAAACAGCAGATTTGGATTTAACGACTGGGCTGGTCACTCTGTCCTCGGCAACCACTTGATAGATCCTCTAGATGTGCGTGAAGATGCAAGTTCTCTCTCAATACTACTTTGATAATACTTTACGAATACAATAATCGTATTTCATAATTCAAATTTAAGTGTGTGTGTGTGTGTGTGTGTGTGTGTGTGTGTGTGTGTGTATGTGTGTGTGTGTGTGTCCGGGCGCTTGTTTGTGGAATATCAGTGTACGAAAGTCTAAATTATTTGAGAGAGAGAGATAGTGACTTACGATCGCCTGAATCTGATCTTCCATAAAATAATCCCCCCAAAAAAATTCTTCCTGTAAAAATTAAAACAACTTATTAATGTACTCAATTAATATTAAAAGTCTATCTTGGACAAATTTCAAACGAAATTGCAGCTACCCACCAGTAGCCATTGTGTGTACTGTGAGGCCACTGGTACAAAATACCAAACATGAAGAAGAACGCTTGGGCAACGGACACACGCAGTTTAATCATATTATATTATGATAAATTCTTATAAAATTTAAAATATCTTGTTCGCACTGTAGTACATCCGTACAATATGTATGCAAATAGCACTAGAATATTTTAAATTGTTTTTTCCGAGAGCATTTATGGCGAATAATAAAACCCTAAGAAAATAATATATTTGGTATACTCTTGTCTCCACCAAAATTCTGAAAAGGTGATTTTTGATCTCATTCTAAACATAAATATTGGTAGTTCATATTCTCACACAATTTTAACGATATATATATATATATATATCGGTACAAATACTACAAACTATTATTTTAACGTTTCAAGAATTAATCACAAGCAACGCAACTATTAAACGAGATGTTTACATTACCCAATTCGGTGTAGTTTAAATCTATTCAAGTATTCAAACCTTATACTAAAATTTAGCATATTTGTCTTTATTAAAATTTACTCTTTTTGTGATATTTTTTTCCACTTGAATAACCCTATCATAATGTTTAATAAAAATACTATGTCTTCAAAATAAGTATTTTTTATTTTTCATGTCATAATCAGAAATAGATGTTATCTACATTGAGTCGTGGGTAAAGTAAATATTTTATAAACACTAAATGACTTCTTTATCTTGAACACACTATGATAGACTAAATACAAACAGACAGGAAATACTTCATAGGGCTTACAGCACAAGTTCAATTAAATCTTTTTTATCAAATCCAGCTCTGATAATATTTTTTTTCTTAAGTAAAACAAATAACTCTTTGAACATTAATCTAATTAAATTTAGTTTACCATTGTTATTTTTTACTGTTCAAAGTGCAAAAACAAAAACAAAATAAACGATTTTCTACTTGGTAAATAATGAATAATTAATAATTGATGAAAAGATAATAATTTTGAATTTTTATAATAATTATTACTTTCATATTTATTTTTTTTTATTGATTTAAAGATATTACTATTCAAAAATCCAAAAGCTAAAACACATTATCACATTATGCATCCATACAACATACGACTAAAATCTTTATACTACAAAACTAAAATCAAATCATAGCATTTAGTGAAAGGTCTCTTGAGCGTACAACTCATTTATTTATTACATTAGTAAAAATCACTACTACCAATGTACTTAAGTGACATTATTGTATATATATTTTAAATGTATATACAATATCCAAGTTTATCTTGGTGCACGGCAATTAAACGAAATCTTTGATTCTAATTCGTAACGTATAGCCGTTGAATAACAGTAATTTAAACATTTATTTTCATTTTCTTTTTTTCGGTCAACTACCTGCAAGAAGAGCTTATAAAATAGCCGAAACGCCACGGCTGCCACCATCTCTCCTCCTACGAATACCGCTTATAATTTAATAATATGTACCTACGTGCGCGTCCGTATATAAGGATTACGTGTGATTTTAATCCATTACACAAACCCTCCGTGCGAGTCGTTGATGCTGTGTAAATGCATTCAAAGTCCTCGTTTCACGGCTAATTCCTCGTTCGTACGATAAAACTTGGCCGTTTCGCAATAGCGCTCTAGGAAATCACGTTCTATTTATACATGAAATGTCAATGGATACAATTTATTAACGTGTGCCTAACTTGTTGAATAATATCCATCAATAATGTTCAATAATTGGACAGAATTATTTTGTTCTTTGCTGTTTTTTCATATTTTCTCGAACTCGATGACATTTTTAAGAATAATTTAAACCCAAACTAATATATTTATATAATATTAAGTCACCAATCGTCGCATTGTTTGTACAGCGCGATTTTGGATGCTTTTTAATAATCGACTTAACCGAATCTAAATGAGGAAAAAATAAATACAACTCAACTTATCTACCTATATCTTTTTTGTTAGCTGAATTGACTACGTCGTATCATTTCACTCAAACCATACTATTAATCTACTGCCAGAATCACACATCATCCTATTTCCAATATTATTATCAAAATATCAATGTAGATACTCATTTCATGGTAGACAGACAAAAATTAGTCTTATGTGAGGACCTAAAAATTTTGTATGACCTGCCTTAAAACGATCGATAATATTTTAACACTATTTTTTCTTACCAATTTGCATTGAAGTAAATTAAAAACATTTTGTTGCAGACCTTAATTAAAAGTATGTATTTTATTAAATTAAGTATATTCTTCATACATTTTTTATTAGCGTTGCCCATATACAATCACCATTAAAATTTTTACATAATTCGTAACTATGTATAAACTTAACCCATACTATAGTATGCTTAACCTCATACCCACAAGTGCAACTTTTTGGACATATTCATGTCCCCCGTACATAGATTAGGACAATCTAAATCTATGTGAAGGCATATTTAAATTCGTATAAATACTACCAACACTTTAAGTTTGAAAAATTAAAAATATACATTTTTACATATGTTTTCATCGAAAATAATTACAGAAAATAATAATGCATGATTATGTAACGTAAATCTTTACTAAAGTTTTAAACAAAATTAGCGTTACTGCAACATTTTAAGATCCATCATTATCGTATCTGTTGTATTACATATAACAACCCTCACTATTGTATTTTACCTTCGGAATATCGTATTGCTTTAAAATTATTACGTATCTTATACTTAACATAAATATTTTACTTCAATTGACTGTGTATGGAACTACCAAACTGGATAATAACTTCCTGTTATAATAATGCATAGTAAAATACTAAAATATACGGAAAATAATTCAACTTTTGAGTGAAAAATAAATATAGAAAAATAACATACTATATGACATCAAACCAAATAATTAAACGACAAAAGAAGCTGGGTCAGTATTGGTAATTTTCATCCTACACGAAGAGACCCGAGAGCGTAATATCAGTAATACTAGGGAACTTTTGAAATTATAATGTGGGTAAGTAAACTATGTAATTTATTCTATTTTACCGTATAACAATGTAGGTATATGTATTTAAAAAAAAAATAAAAACATTTAAGACACTTCTAAGTATTTCCAATAAATCTACCGTGATAATTGTGTAGTGAATAAGATATATTTAGTATAAATACAGCTAATCATAAAGATTTTCGTTGAAAACAATTTTGTGGATCCAACAAGATATACTGACATAGTTATATATAAGGAAATGATATACTTAAATAACTCTATGAAGTACTATAAGTCGCGTAGCCATGGGGGTTATGGGGTAATTGTAGCCCCAACCTGAAATTTTTAGATAATTAAAAATGTATTTCTATAGTCTATGAGAGTTACTTCGAATAGAAATTATTAGTACAGTAACCAAAACCTAAAATAAAATCTGAGCATCAGCATGCAAAACTCATGGAAGGCATAACCCTAGTTAAACCAATTTTGTGTAAACACATTATCAGCCAGTCAGCCGTATCAGACCGTTCACTTCAAATGAAATAATATAGTGAAATATTTTCTTGGGGACTACCTCTCTGCCGCTCTAAGTTCATGAAAATAATAATAATTTTTTTTTTCTTCACGTACACGTACACAATGAAATCTTTCGACAGTAATCAGTACATAATAATAATATAATAGCGTGCGTTGCGAACCTTATGTCTCTCGTTCACCAAAATACGTGACGTCCTTATTTTTATTGTTTTTTTTCTCATATTCGATGACCGTTTGAAATATTAAATTGCTCGTATGCCATAGCATACACACATCTACACACACATACATACATATATACATACATAGATTTTTACAAAAGAAACTAATGCGTAATGACATTATCCTTACCGTCAATAACTGAAACTGACCTGCAAAGCAAGTATTTCGGGCGCCCTATCCAGAGCACGTGTATGTATAATTGTATGCATTGTATATATTATAATAAATAATATAAAAATAAAAATATATGGTTGCATCCACTTTCCCAAAAACTTTTACATATAGCTTTTTGGCACACAGTTCATACTTAGGAGAAAAAATCACTATACAAAAAATAAACTGTAAAATTCGTCATACCGACACCAATGTCGACTATTTCTAAACGATACCATTACATTGCCCTATCTCCATATCACATAATATATATTATACACATGCAGGCCGACCAGACATGTCGAAACACAAAGTGTGTTCTTACACATACATCGAATAAAATATTTATCATAATATTTACCTATTTGTCGTTTCACTGTTACGTATTTCCCCAGTAGAGCCCTTTCCTCGTAATTTATTGTTTCATGACTTCAGCACCGCTTGACCTTGATTGTGCCAAAATACATATTGCCATAATACTATACGTTCCTAAACACTATATACTCGTATATTATGTACCTATATGTATAATGTATATATTATAATATTAAGTACCTATATTTAATCCATGAGAATAATATTGTGTGTAAAACTTTTATTATTACGCATTATTTATATTGTTGTTACCTATTGATGTTGTTGTTCTTTTTGTTGTTATTGTTGTTACTGTCGATTATGTTTTTGCTGCACGAAGGAACAGAATAATATATGAACACAAAGTTTTGAAGCAATACAAGTTATATTATATCATTAATATGTTTACCTACAGGCTTCACTAATCCACGAATGATGTTGATTTTATTTATTTTTCAAAATTATATTGAATACTTAAAAATAAAATATCATTATTACAATATATTGTATATATTTAAAACGGTTGATGACTGTAATTAAAACATATTAGTACGTATCCCTCAATAATATTATTGTTCCATTTAATAATTTTGTTCAAATGCCACTTTAAGTATAGTTACTTGCGTTGAATCTTCGTAATTATTACACGGAGACCTATACAACTCATTCCAATATAAATTTAAGTCCCCAAAAACAAAAGCTAAATGTTCGGTAACAATAAATCATTGATGCCCCTAATTATTTTGAACATATTTTAAAATTAATATTATTATTGTATAATATTATTGTAGATATTAGATAGATAATATTATAGTTAATAGATTACCAGGCAGCGCGTGCATACTCGAAAATATAAACCTATCAACAACACTTGCTGCAGGTACTATCGACATTTATTTTATATGAATTACATTAATCGTTCGTACTCCAATAATTTTGAGTTACCATATGTGATTATTTTTAATTGTACCTATTTAACTTAAGGCTATGAAATATTATATTGTACGTGTGTGTGTTTATGTGTGTTTTTTTAAATAAATGCTTTTAACTGTAAAATATAATAGTCTGTTTATTTATTATATTTTTTCCATAAGGCGGATAGGGCCATCATCCCTCGGTGGGTATATAATACGCTCTGCCACCACCAGAACCTACGTGGAAAAGGCGAGAGCTAATACAGAAAAGCACAACTATAAATGTAAAAATAATATAAGCAGAACTAAAAAAAATAATAACAATAATAACGATAATACATTTGCAAAAACAACGACAATGGCGGAAATACGGCTTTGAGCGCTATAAATATGCAAAACATGCGTATAGCAGTCGGTGCTTGGATTAAAATTTGAATTTAAAAATAAACATAATAGGCCACGAGAGGCTGAAAATCATCTCACAAAAACGGATGAATTCCAATATGTATGGTTGTATGTGGTATTTGTAAGTGAATAACACCACTCCTTCTATAATAAAGGAGTACACTATTTAACTTCTCTCAATTATTTTGTATTTCAGATATTGTATTATAATATTGATTTGAAAACAAAAAAATAAATTCTTTCGTTCATAAATAGTAAATTATGCCTAATATATAATGTATTAAATTATTTTTCCTCAAAATTACTTCCAGACGTGTTAAGTATATTTTAAGTGCTTTTAAAACAAATTATCCCGTCTTATATATTATATACTATTACTTTTGAATTATGTTTATTTTTCTTTTAAGTAGGTCTGTAAACCAAAAGAGAATATAATATAGAATATAAATACAAAAATGTATACAAAATATATGTAAGTTTAAATAGAATTACTTATTCTATATAAATAAAATGTACATGATAACGTCATAACTAAAGAACATATTTATTATAAAAGTTTTAAACATCGTTATTAAATAGTATATCTTCAATAAATAGTGTCCGGGTCACCAGAAACTAGGTACTAACATTATGTTTGTAAAGTATCCTTAAGTGTTTATATTTATTTTGTATTGGACAACGAGTATTAAAAACGAATTTAACTAAAAAGTTCAATAATGTATAAGAATTAATTAAAAAAACTCAAAATATGACAATTTACAATTGAATATGGTAAGGTTATGACGTGCTGTAAGATATCCTATACAAATTTTAAAATTTAAACTCTATTAAAAGACCCACAAATAATATACAATTTTAATCGAGGAAAAAATAATATGAACAGGTAATGATAAATATGACTTATAACAAACGACAAATTGAATCACATGAAAATACTTGATACCTTATATTAGTAAATTAGAAACATTATCTGTATTCTAACGTGGTACGATATTTAAATTCATACAATTAAAAATATTCACATTTTATTTTAAAACTAATATACGAGTACCATAAGAAGATCAAAATAAAACTATATTATTTTATTTAATGTGATAATCTATCATTACTTTTAAATATTTATTAATAATTATCTACTACTCTGTATTGAAGTAATCGTAATAATAAAAGTTAAGCAAGTACAATTAAATACATGCAGGATTTTGTATCTTGCCCAACTGTTTTCGAAAATATTGGATCACGGCGCAATGTATAGGCAATATAGGTACATTATTGTACACATTTATTGAACGTATCTTGTAAAGAATACTTTTAATTTTTATATTGTATTAGAAATAAAATAAAATTAATTCAACAAAATATGTTTCGTCACAACTACTTCTAAGTTTTGAAAAGAGTATTCATAAATAATAAATTTTTTTTTCGAAAAGTATTCGATTTAAAATGGGCGAACTTGTGAAAACCCATGGTTGTCTAAACATTGGACACAATATTAACCGACGACGGTTGGCTGAGCTGATTCCTGTTGCTGATCCTGTGGTGGGTTCTCTTCTTCCATCACTCCTTCTTCAACTTCACCCAAAATGTTCACGCCTGCATCTTCCTCTTCTCGGACCTCCTGTTGGGCCAACCACAACTTTACTTCACCATCCATCTCGTCAAAGTCGTGTGGGAAAAACTTAATGGCATCGTCAATTCCGACCTCGTGATCCGGACTCACGTAAATTGGCCCAACGTCAACGAACCGCAACAGACTCTTATCCTTGTCGTCCATGAGCACAGACAATACCAATTTGGCTTCTTTGCTGTGCAAAAAAAATATAATGTTTAAGGCACTTGTTTTATCATGAGTATGGGAAAAATAAAAATGTTGAAAAAAAATTAAAAAAACGTTAAAACTATTAGTATTACTCAGGCACAGGTTTAAAAAAATTTAAAACTGCAAATGAGTTAAATATGGCATACAATCTCTCAGCCATAACATCACTGTGTTTATCGCCGAAATCAACTTTTATTCCGATTAGTATTTTTTTTAGTTTAATTTTTGATTATGCATATACATTATAGAACAAACGAAAATAATCGTTGATTGGTTGTAGGTATTGATTTAAAACAAAACAAAGTTAATAGCTCGTGTAAATATATTATAAGTTAAATTACTCATATTCATTAATAATCAAATATTAAGGTAAGTTTTTAAGTTTAGGGATCCAGGGTTACTACAAACCACACGCGTTGTGTGTTGGCTTATATAATATTTATATTAGATTGATAAAATAACAACAATATACCAAATTACTAACGTGAAATAATGACTTATGAGATCAAAACATCATCACGAAATAAATCTTAGTCAAACTCAGACCGCTCGTATTATTAGCGACCATTATTCGCGTCTATCAACAGTTTCAGGAAGTGTAAAAACTGTATCAACTGACTAGTATTTAGAAAACTATTTCTGGTGCGAACATTGTGTACCGACTTTAAATTTTCTATTCTTGAGAATATTTTTATAATTATTAAGAGACCTGATATAATAATTTAAAAGTATATTACTTATAAACTTATATATAGTTTATAAATATCTTAGTTATTTTTTATTTTTTTCATTTAAAATGTCATCTTTAAATTTAAGAAAGTAAAAACCATTGTTCCACCAACCAATTACATGGGTGACAAGACGTCGAACACGTGTTTTAAATTTTAATTCATTAACAAAAACTGGGTAAATTATACAAATGCTTAACGTTTAATTAATTATTACGCCTCGAGAGCTTAAAAATAAAATTCTTTTTTTATATTTTAGATCACTAACTTTTTAGTTTTAAAAGCTGTACAACTAGTCTTGATGTGTGCAACGAGCGAAAAAAGTCGAGTAATTTAATATGTATGAAAATTAACTCCACTAAACTTAAATACTGTTTACTTATTATTCTATTTATACGATCTGACTTTATTGAGACTTCAGAAAAACTCTCAAGTGTATGATTTCAAACGAAAAATGGAAAACGAATTTAGTATTGTTGGCTGTACATGTAAGATTAGATTTTTATTTCCAATATTATAGGTTCGTGTAATTTCTGATTGCTATAGAATATTGACATAGGCGTAATATATGTATATTATTATTTACATCATAATGGTAAAATTTAATACCTACCCAACTTTGTCCATGCCATATGTAGCTAACAATTCGGGATCTTTGCAGAGTAGCTTGGGTTTTTCGGGATCGGCGCTACGGAAAAAACCGTAATAGACGACTTTTTCTTCGAGATCCTCGATGATCGGTAGCACGATGTTGGATTTGTTGATATCAAAAATGACAAGGTACTGTAAAGTAAATGCACCAGTTTATATGTATACCTAAGCTGGTGAGTGTATTTGTTTTTAGAAAGATCCTTGACGACCTTCTAGTTTGATGAAAAAAGTTTTAAAAATAGAGTCGGCTTCTATATAGTATAATATGGAAAACAAAGACCGTCCTACTACTTGTAATAAAACCAGTTCTCTAACCTGTGGTAAAGGTGGCTGGGGTGCAACGTATCCATTGTTTTGGCAAAATTTGCTGAACAAAATGGTCAGCGCCGAAGCTTTACTCAACGGATTTCTGGGGGTATATATCGACGGTAACTTTTGTCCAGATTCATTTACTTTCTTATGTATATCTGCAAGACTATGGTAAATAGGGTCACTAACCTTTGTAACGCTATTTAATTTTTAAATAATTTTTATTATACGAAATATTAAGACAAGTGTATCAAATGACAATTGTAATACATATCGTATTGTATTGTATCAATATACCTACTTATACTAACAAAACATATTCAAGCAAGCAAAATAAATATATCGTATAAAAAATTATTATTAGTTTACATGATTTTAATTTCTTTTATTCAAAAAAATGTATTTTAATTTTTAAGTTAAAACATACAAGACCACTATACTAATAAGTGATTTCTAATAAAATGTTTGATGTATACAGTCTTGAACGCTATATAGTATAAGTATATGATTATTCAGTATACACTATTTAATATATTATACTTATACATTTATTAATTTTATTTAATTTAATAATATCATACAATTTTCGATTTGTTTACAACCATCATATAACTATGATTCTCATGTTCATGTTTATCTTATATACAATTATAAAAAATATATATTAGGTAGTAAATACTAAGTAGGTACACTGTGTGTGTATAATAAGCTATTTATTTGATTATTTCTTTACCTATACAAATTTCAAATTATTCATAAATATATTAAAAATATTAAATAACTCATATAATTATTGAAAAAGTAAAAACAGTAACCATAACATAAAGAATAAAATACATTTTACTGTGATTAAGTACTTGGTTCTTAATAACTGACTTTATTACGTTGTTTGTAATATTAATATTTACTTTATTACATTGTTTTATCATATTATTATTTATTATAAAGTTTAATTTCACACGGTTTAGTTTGTTTGCATATTTTAATTTCCGTTTTTCAAGTTAATTATGTAACACCTCCCGTCACTCCATTATTTTCACCAATTATTATATTATATGAAATTTTAAAAAAAAGCTTAATTATTTTGCATGTTATGAAAAATTATACTTGTAAGTTGTAATTTTATATATTTTCATTTGTTCAGTTTCAAAAAAATAATACCTTAATATTTTGAAAACAACAGATTATTTTTTTTATTCAAATATACTTTCGAATTATTAAATTAAAAATTGAATGTGTATTTAAGATAATATTATCTAGGTACATTGTACCTATAAATTTAATATAATATAAAACTACATACACATGAAATTATTACATATATTGGTCATCCGAGTTCTCAATGTTTAGTTTTTTTTTTTAAATGAAAATAGAGTTGTCTATTTGAGTCAGCGGTATAATAGTGATGGAAGGAAGGGCGGAGTAAGGGACTCCTAAATAAGAAGTGGGTTCTTATTTGAGGCAAGATTATGTTTTCTCTTAAACTTAAGTCTCCGATTTCAGGGGGACACTTAACAAGAAATGTATTAACATTCAATATAAATTAGTTTTCGTTTGTCTTTTTAATAAAATTTATAAAACTAAAACCATTTTAAACTTTAAATACATTTTTTTAAATATTTCAGGCTATGAATTGCAATTTATTTTTACCGAGAAGACATAATATGTAGAAGTAGGATCAATTTTCTTAGGAGGAAATTTGTTTTTACATCTTATCAATTTTTTTATGAACAAATAGGTGTGTGAAAGAAAAATTGATGAAGGTTTAGACCTTGTGGACTTCTTAAAACAGTTTGGTTGGATATAGACTTCTGTAAAAACTCGGAAACGCTCCTAAATTATCGGTGACTGTAGACCCACTTCAAAATTTTTCCCACTTTAACTACTGTTTCAGTGAAGAATAAACATTTGTTTAGATTCTATTATAATATGTTTCTGGAACACCTAGGCATTGTTTTTTTTAAATTATTATCGCTCTACTATTCAATTTTAGCAATATTCAATAATCGACAACCATCCAGTCAAATTATATTTTATTATTTAAATTTCTATCAAAGTTAAATATTAATTTAAGTATTCTATCGTGTGTACTCACACACACACACACACACATACACACAAGCGTATGCTTTTTTGTGTTTTATAAATTTATATTTTCAAATTTAAATAATACCAAGATGCTTATATTATTTAATTTAAAATATTATAATTATAATATGATGATAAGTAAATATAATTTTACATAAAGGTTACGTTAACATGTATACATACGTATTAACATTATAAGTTCATAATGCATATTATGTATTGATAGTTAAGGTACTTACGAATTCGGACTAGGGTTTAATGGGGTTCCATTTCCGTAAATTATTGTGCTTAACTTCTGTTCTATTACTCCCATTAGGTCAATGGGCTCAGGTAGATTTTCGTCTTCTGTGATAGCTTCTTGGGCAGCGGGGTCTTGTTTGACAGTAGGCATTGACAACATTACCGAATACACTTTTTTACTCAACAGTTGATCGATAAATTCTTGCGGAAAACTTTCCAGAAACTCTTTTTCCATAAAAAACATCTAAATTTAATAGATTTAAAAAATTAATTCATGTATGATTTCCAATCTAAATAAGTACCTAGGTAGTTATATAATATACATATGAAATTACAATAATTTTGTTGTGTCATACACTATGTTAGATAATAACTATTATTTTATTTATTAGTTATTTATAACGTATTAGCTTATCCAAAATTTTAAATAATTTTCTGGGTAATATAAGTATATAAAATGTCAGAAAATGTTCAACGTTTTGAATGGTTAATAATAACACTTAGGTATTTATTCTTGAATCTATTTGACCAAAAGGTTGGTTATTTCGAATACTACATCTCATAGCCCAATGACAACATGTTGGCTATCTTCAACTACTTCTCACATCGCAATAACAAAGTTTCAGTACTATCAACTACTAATTATAAAGTATAATATAGATTCTAAATTAATGTTATTGATTTAAGCTATCCTCCGAACAAGCGGATGATCCCACTATAGATCTCAAAGTACTAATAATAAAAATGTTGAGTACTACTTTGTATTATTTTCTCTGCTATCAGAAAAAACATTTAATCAGTTTTTAAAATTATGAAAAAATATATACTATAATTTTAGGTAAAAACGAGGTTGCTATGGTAACTTAGTCATATTAATCATCGGTTGCTAAATGCAATCTAGGTACTTTAAAACCAAATCGGTTGAGTAAAGTAATTATGTTGTGTTTTGGTTGCTAAGGTTAACCTACAAAGGTAAATACTATAACTCTAAATTATAATGTCATATTATGTTCATAACATTAATTTCATCTTTGTTATTGTTCGGTTGGCATAATATCATGGAAACTCTCATGGTCAAATGCCAATCAATGTGTATCCAGTTCAAAAATATGTTTATGTTAAAAAAAATGTATCCTAGATTATTTTTCATTGCAAAAAATGTATGTTTTTTATTTAAACTCTATCAGAAAGAGCGAATGATTTTGTTGGATATCTAAGTGCTGATAAAAAATCGAATAAATCGTAAAAAAATTTCGTATCAAAAGGAAATGGTCTTCAAAGCCATCAAAGGAATTTTTTTGAAAAATATTGTATTTTATTTTTATCAAATTAATAACATAATAAATATTGATATTAAAGAGTACGTGTATATGGGAAATATTTCATAAAGGTATGAGTTAGAAATATTTCGGTTATTATTTCATCAGAATTGTCTGCTTCTGGTTATTTCTATTAATTCTAACATATTATATTATTTTGTTTGTGAAACGAATAAAAAAATTTTTATTTTTCCGTTTTAGTTGCCACGGCAACCTATTAATAACAAAATTAAATAAATGTTATAACATTATAATTTAGGGTTATAGTACCTACTGTGTCTTTATATAGAGACTGATCGCAATATAATTACGTTATTCAACCTATTTTAGAATACAGCGCCTAGATTTTCCCTAGTAACCGATGATTAATATGATTAAGTTACCATAGCAACAATGTTGATATTTGTTATCAAATCATACGCAGAGGAAAAAATATCAAGTATTACTCGCTGCGATTTGTTTTTGATCTAGATTCTAGAATACAAACATTTATTACGAATAAATTTAAAGAAGTTTGCTCCATAATAATATATTTGTTCCAAATTTTCACAGAACTTTACAGCAAACATTTGGAACAATAAATAATGTGTCTCGGGTATATTTTAGGACTCCAACGTTCTTGAACATTTTTACTGACGACTGACGAGTGTATTTAAAATATGTTAATTTACCTCGTTCAGATTGTCTTCCGTCAACTCTACATCTTTAGCATCGATAACAATAAGTTCCTCATATTTAGTAGCACACGAATTAGCCACCTCGCACACCCTTTTTTCTATCATCACGGGTTCAAGAGGCTTATCGAGTTCTTTGGTGTCATCTTCAATTGGTTTTTCCACCATAATGTACTTGATCGTGTGTGGGAAAAACATGACACAAGTTTGCATTTGAACGTTGACCGAAAATTGTTTCAGAGAATGTTCTCTCTTTTTCATCATTCTATAATCTTAAATTATTAACCATTATTGAGTCATAGTGATGTTATAGAGAAAAACTACTTTATTGTTATTTATTTTTATTTTGTATGAGATTCTTCATAGTGGTCTTCTACTGAAACCACTGACAATCAAACATGTTGGTAACACTGTACATTTTGTTTCATCGCTTTATAGGATCATTTGAAACAGTTTGATAAAAAATTATAAATTTATGTGAATTAATATTATCTGAAAAATTGTTAAATAAGATGTTTATTTTATATGCGGCCAGCAACGCACCGAACCGCACTATATAATATTCAAACAATATACATGGATATAAATATGATTTGGTCCATAACTATAATATTAAAAAAGAGTAATAAGGGATAGGTTTCTGTAGTATAACTTCCACAACCGAATATAATATAGCTAATATTAAATTATGATATTGATACCTAAATGTAAACTATTTCATTTATTTTTATTTTAAATGTAAAAAACCAAAAGGAAGTTTTAGATGTACCTATCCGATATCTATATAATTAAAGATTATCAAAAATAAAAACATAATAACGTTACAAACCTCTAATTATTTTTTCCTTTTTTGTTTTCTGTTTTTGATAGTTTTCATTATCATTTAATTTTTTTTGCTCCTCCTCGGTCACTTGAGTCATTGGTATCTTAATTTATAAAAATGTTTTGTTTGGGTATTACTCAACACTGTTTGTAGTATACATACGCAAAATACGAATTCCGTATATTACACTCACAAACTCTCTCTGGACTTCACCATTTTTGAACTTAACATACTGTTCCAACTCCTCCACTATTAATTGCATTAATCTAGGAGCATTGGTGCCAATAATGATATTGACCAATTTCCCATCCTTTTCAAAAAATTATAATGAAAAATAAATAGTTATAGTTAACGTTATAAACAAAAAATTGTTTTATTCGCGGTTTATAATCAATATAGGTACTTACATAAAAAAACAACCAATGGGATTCACTTTTTTGTCGAAATCTTTTCAGCACAGTTATATTGTCAGATTTTGCCTAGAATTTAATAATCATAATCAAACAGCTTTTTAATTTATTAAAAGATCCTTCAAAATCTGTACAATATTAAACGAATCTATAATCGAATTATAATACAGTAGAAGCCGCTTATTAGAAACACGGATAATTGATACAATCGCGTGATAGAAACAAAATGTACAGGGACGGACCAGCCTATATTAGAACATTGAAAATAAATCGGATTATTGAAACATCACATCGGTTATGTGAAATAATTGGGAGGGCTGTTAACATATTCACCATTTATCCGTGCGATAACTAATGTAATTTAATCTTATCTTTGCTGTCGTTGCGTTTATATTTGGACTATACTATCTTAAGTGCAGTACGTTCCATACCAGGGATTGGCAACTCAAAGTTACTCGAACGCCAACTTTTAGAAAATTAAAATCTAGAGGGCCAGAGCTGGGAAAGCAAGAAAAAGGTCATTCAAAATTTAAATTTAAATTTGTGTTAAATGGATTATAGACGATACATTTTAAAATAGTATGATGTAATTTGAAAATGTAGCTCGGCCGCTCGGGCCAGATAAAAGAAGCTAGCATGCTGAATGCGGCCCACGGGCCGCCAGTTGCCCACCCCTGTTCTATACGAAGTATAAGAATGCTCTTTCCTATACGTATCGTTAGTTCAGCTTCGGCGTGGGTACATAAAGGTGATTCAAAAGTGTTTCGTTATTCTAAAAATCTAAATCTAAAAATGTCTAAACGCCAAGGTTTAAGTTCTAAACAGAAGTACGAGTTATTAAAATCATACGACGTGCTTCCAAAAATATATAAATTTGTACATATGTACTTTTTAAAATTATACATACATTTTCCGCTTATTTTTCATTTTTTTTTCATAGTACAAATCAAACCAATCGCTTATTAGAAACAATCGGTTAATTGACACATTTCACTTATGGTCCCAAAGTGTTTCTAATAAGTGGTTTCTACTGTATATTAAATTTATAAATGTTATACATACTTCATAAATGATTCAAATAAAAATCTATATGAGCAATATAAAAATAATAAATATGTGTAAAATGAAACTTTTTATTACTTTAATAGTTTAATCACAATCCCCACCAATCAATACATTTTTTTTTAACCTGTACGTTTTTTACATGATACACGATATATTGCAGTATTGCACATATAATATGTGGAACTAGAAGAGACGAGGAGGCTTAACCAAATATAACTAGATTTCAGCAGACCCAAGGCTGTGCCCAAAAACTCACGAGCCCCTACTGCGTGAGGTGAGGAAGTAAAGTCGGTTTGGGGGCAACTTAGACTTAATTAGGAAATCCGTTTGTGGATGATTAGATACAGCGGAATTGCAAATTAGATTTTAGAATTTTCAATTATTCGCAATAAATTTGTAAAATATTGACACATTTTTTTATTAATAAGACATTCTGAGGGCTACGTGGAGTCGACCCCTGAGAATACAAATTCATAAAACTAATTTTCAAAATATTGAAAAACGTTTTCAATTGATGAGATTGTGTTGAAGTCCGTCGTTTTTAAAGGTTGTCATTATTTAATTGAATTGAAGGATGGAGCCTATGGGACATGCTTAAATTCTAAAATTTAATTTACTAACAAATTAATATATTACAAATTGTTCCGATGGCCACCTAACAAATTCTTGCTAAATGATGATGATAATGTACAAAAAAAAAATTATATAATTTAAATGATATTGGTATGGTCGGGAACATATGTTTCTGCAGGTAATTCACGCATAAAAAGGAAGTGCTGCAGGGACCGACTCAATATTTAAAATAAACTATACACCCCTAGGGTGCCACCAATAGTGACTTCTTTTTTCCCGCCTGTATTCGATTTTTAAACTGTAATAAATTGTGCGTTATTTATATATCTAATTTACTTTTTGTATTACTTGTATGTATAGATCGTAAATAAACATAAGATTTAAATAAATATGACAAAATATTTCCGCTCTCAAAAAACCTTCTCTATTACTTAATTAGAGATACTTTATCTTTGTATGTATCAATTAATTTATGTTAACCAAGTAAACAAGACAACATTTCTACAACAAAATATTTAGAATTAAGGCTTTTTTAGCATAACTAACTCATTCAGTTATCTAGGAACCACTTCCAGCTATGTATGTATCTATTGTTACATACCTATTTCAATTGTTTGTATATTTGCTACAATTTATAAATGATAATCATATATAAAGGCAGTGAATATTTACTATAGCGTAATGTAGATTTTCGCTTCCTAATTCCAACTTGATTTTTTTTAAGTATGCTGTCATTGGTATACAAGGACCACACCATTCTGTATAAACGTCAACGACTAAATAACAAACGAGTCAGTAAGAATAAGTTTATTATATTATTTTGTGTTTTATTACCATACATTCCCGGCTTTTCTATAATTTTTGTCCAGTCATCATCGCTATTTATTTCTTCTTGGAGCACTGCTTGCCCACCTTTTTTAGCCATTCGTCCGGATCTCTTATTCTGATTAGCCTATACATTTAATTTCGTCATTTCAAAATATAATGTTAAGTTAAGGGGTTAAACTTGAATTTATTTTAATAAGATGTTGATCAATTAAAATAACAGAGACAACAAAATATTACTATGATTATTTTCTAGTTGTAAAATACTATTTAATGTATTGATACATTTTTCTTAATTAAACATAAACTTTTAATTTATATGAATGTACAGTATACACTATATTGAAGCTTATTTGCTCTACACTTTTCATTATCATTTTGGTAATTAAACATTTAACTAATTAAATGTTGCACCGACGTCTGTATGAGTTGTACATTAACTAGTAAAATATGAATACATTATGACATAAAATTAAAGCTTGCACAGTACATTATTTACAAAAGAAATAATTTGATGAACATTTTAGTCAATTTACCACTCAAATATGACTGTTCTATTCTGGTAATACGTCTATTATAAATAAATAATAATAATAATGTCATAACTTCACGTCATTACTGCATATAATCACTTGACAGGAAGAATCCCTCCAGGTTTATTATACAACTATAGTCATATTATACAACTTTTCAAAACAATTTAAATCTCATTCAACAACAAAACAGTCAACTACAGGGGGTTGGATTATTTTCAAGGACCCAATGTTTGCTTTATTATAATATTTTATTGTATGTTTACAAATAATTAGGTTAACCATAATAAACAATAATTTGACTCAATCTTTTCGTTCAAAACATTTATGAACACTACAGATTAAATATAAATTTACTGTAAAAATCTAAACATGGGTCATGTAGTTCTTTAATAGTTTGTTTTCCCTTTAATACTATTAAGAGTATTCGATGTGAAATCAAGTATAATTTATTTATTTATCAGAGTAAAACAGTGAGCAGACAAAAAAATGAGCAAGTAGGTAACAGCTCTGCTATACAATAGGCACACTTACGAATCCAGGGGGGGGCTCCCCCCCACCCCCCCGTCAAGACATATAACTGAATATCATTAGTTATAATACTATACATTCTGTATTCATAATAAATATATTTTGTATTTGTGTTGTAACAAAATTGCAGCCCTCCTCCCCCACAGATCTTTGCTCTGGATCCCTACCTGAATAGATTTCGAGTGTAAATCATTATTGAGTACATAAAAGTCACTGAAATGGATGTGTTAAATACTTAAATTTCAATTCAATGATAATCCATTGCAACGAAAAATTTGTCAGCCTATATTACTAAGTGAATTTTATGATACTATATTTGTACTGATATTGTATTAATTATTTATTTTAAAATTAGTAAAATGTAAAAGTACCTACTATTAGGTAGGTTGCATTAATTTTTAACAAAAACAAAAAATTTATCTTATAAATGTTACCATTTAATTATTGTAATAGTAGTAGGTGCATATTTATATAGTATGTTATTGTTGTTCACTTTTGAGTAAAAATCGACTTACCGATAAACGGTGTGAATCGGTGGTTAGTGGTATAAATAAACAATAGCTTAAAATGAATCTAAATATTTTAAAAATATTATTGCGTATTATAGAAAATATAATAATACACATCAAAGTTTTAAGTCTTCACGAATAATATTTTTGAATTACAACAAAATAACTAAATTTATTATAATATTCTTGGTTTAAACATTTAATTTTGTGTAAATTTTAACTTCAAAAACCCTTTGATAAAAACTTATGAAGGACCTTGTATGAAGTTTTTAAACTTTTTTACGGAGCATAAATGGTTTTATTGACATTTATATAAAAAATCGAGAATTTGAAATGCTAATATACAGCTTAAAATTAGTCCAAATATTATGAACATTTCATTAATTAATATAGAAAATAATACGTTGAGTAGAAAACAGCAATGAAATGTTTCAATTTTTATGATTAATTCTTTAAGAGTTACAAAAAATGTTTGACATTTAAATTTCAGTAGATACTAAAAAATATTTATAGAATTGAGTTCAATTTGATTTCAAATTCGACAATATTATTGTTTATTACAAATATTATGTTAACTTTTAATTGCATTACTTACCGTTTTTGGTGGCATCTTCAATAATAATTGAATTTCGGTTTTAAAAATAATAATTGAATTATTTACCACTACTACACCAATCCTATAACCACAGCACAGAATACAATGGTCGGTAAACACGTGCCGTGCACCTATTTATATAGGGACTTATAGAACCCCCCGTGTACCTACTACCCTCCGCTCGTGACATTCCAAAAGTTTAAATACTCATGGAAGTTACAGAAAATAGATATTTAATAGTCGTAATGATACGGTATAAATTAAAAGCGTGCGTATAATATACTGTGGGGGAAGCAGAAAAGTTATAAAATGCAAATGACGTGTGTAGCGGAAATTAACAGCGCGATGAATGCTTCAATAAACATAACGCTCTTCTATACTCATAAATGGTACGACAAACCTAAGAAATTAATCTTTTTCAATAGGTATACATAAATATTTTGGAAATCGAAACCTGTAAAACGTACAAAATAAATGACAAACACGTCAAGACACAATCTATAGTCTTCTAATGCGGTGAAAATCGTATAGATACTCTAATTTGGCATGGTATTCGTTTATTTTAATTTAGTATACGCCATGGCTAAATGGTATTATTTATAGAAGTAGGTACATATTGCTAAATATTAGAGTCTTGACTCAACGCTTTCCTCCGAATGCCTATTAACCGTGACATCGTGGCATTGAGGGTCTACTGGATTGACTTTGTCCTTCCTACTTTCATGTAACGCCCACAAGGGGTCTATCAAACATTATTCATCTCGCTTGAAGAGCTCAACCCGGAAATAATTACTTAGTAATTACTCAACGATTGGGAATAATCGCTCGTCACACCCGATGACAATTCTTTACACATTCAAATCCACGAATGAAGTTTGCGAACTGTTAGCGTTAAATTGATAACCCGTTCAACTGACTTAGGTACACTGAGATATTAACGTTTTACTCCCGAGACATATACTTGCAGCCTAATTCCTAAAACTTTTTCCTACCAAACATAAACTGCTATCCACTCAAGAACCAGCCAGTCATCAAGAAATATTTCCTGCGATTTTTTACCGCAACTCACTGTAATCACAGAAATGTATTTGACAGTTGGGGTCTTACTTCTAAGAGACAGTTCAACAATTTTATGTATATCCGCCGACCGCCATATGGTATATGTTTATAACAGTTCATTAATAGAAATTCGTATTAATGTTAATAAAAAATAATCCAAAATGATGTGTCCTTTGGTAAACTAAAAACTTCCGCAATGACAGAATTATAAAATATATACATTTTATATGCTACAAAAGTGTGATTCTTCTTTGAACAGTTAAGAAATAAAATGTATTTAGTTATGATATACCTATGATATTTAAAATTGATATTCGATGTGATTTCATTAATTACAATATTTCAAAGTAATACCTAACAATAAAGAGACTTTGAAAAAATATTATACTTTGTTGAATTAATGTATGAATGACAGCATACATTTTTAGTAAAATGTTTTTTTAAGAAATTCAGTATATAAACCTCGAAATTCTAACAGGTTTCTAATTATTTATAAATAGTTATACATATAAAGTTTAGGTAACCAAAATAATGCACCAATTTTTTTTTTTTGTGAAGGGGGCCCTTGTTTATTATTACAGCTCCGCTCATCTAAAATTGAAATACTTATAACTATTATAACCTACTAGTTTAAGATTTAATTTTTTATTTCACGACCAAAAGAATAAAAATACATAAAAATAATCATATTTACACCTAATATAATAGCAAATATGTTACATACTTTCAATTGAATTTATCATGAATTTATAGTGCAAGTTCAAATTGTATATTTTTAATAGGTACTCGTACTCCACTATCCTGCTCTGAGATAGATGTGAAGCAAGACGAGCGAAAAACATCCAATCTGAAATTAATATTTTATTTTTTACCATAACTTTATTTTACACCTTATAGTTTTGCAATTATATCATGTAATATAATATAAGTAGTAAGTACATTATCTAACTATGTAAGCGACTCTATAATTTGATAATAAGATAAATAACAGTAATAAGACCTCGTGTACAAATAATCTGAGAAAGGACTTTATCTATTGCATAGCCTATCCTAATTTTACTCTACTTCGAAAATGTAGTACTTATGCATGTGTTAGGTAAGGTTGTGTAGTTGTAGATTCTGAGATTCATGTCACTTAAAAAATCAACCTTTAAATGTTATACTCATAAGCGTATCTAGAAGGGAAGAGCTTGGAGGTTTAGCACTTTAAGTATAAATATTAGCCCCCAAGACTTTCCGATTTATTTAGGATTTACTGAAAATTGTTGTGATTCAATTTAAGCTCAAATGATGATTGCAAAACACTGTAGTCAAAATTATAGTAATGAAGTGGAACCAAGGCCATATAACTGGGAGAAGGGTCTAGGGAGTTGGACCCTCTCAAAAACTTTTTAAAAGTAGGAATATTTTAGTAGTAAATATTGTTTATCGACAATTGTTTTAAGAATAGTTTTATATTTTCGTTAAAGCAGTGCTTAATAACGAGAACAAAGAGTTTTTATATTTTAAACTCAAAAATGACAAGTGACCAGAATCTTTATTAAAAAAATGTTGGACCTCCTCCCTCAACTTTTCCTAATGAAATCTAGTATATCTATATAAACTTCTAAAGTTAGCTCTGGCCTTAACAAATTCTTCAGCATCGCGTGAGAGGTAATTTTTTACAGTGATGCATGTCAATACGGCAATAGATATTATATACGATAAACTTTACTATGAAACATGATTGAAATATACATGTTATTGCATAAAGACTCGGATTGTTATCATTAGGTACAAAATAGCTGCATAAAGAGATACCAAAAATATTAATTTTTCTTATCATCAAAAATACACTGGCAAACGCCTAACAGATTCAAAATTTCAACACATGTATAGGTAGCTAGGGATTTGATTATTATTAGCTCCCTTTAAACTGCTATTTTTGTTTTTATCATCAAATATTTTATTGGAAAGTGGTATATATTCAATGACCTTGTATATTTCAACATATGACACAAGACCATAAATATTGAAAGAGATATTTGTAACAATATTGATCCAAATGGTATCTTAAATATGATATACTTCAGTAGTCAGTAATGACAGACGTTTGGACTTAAAATTTAAAAAAATACTAAAATGTCTTACTTTTTATTTAAAATATTACGTTTTAGTGATAAATGTATTGATTTTACAATGATGCGGGTTTTTTATGTCTGTGACACTTTGTGTACACAATAAGTACCTAATCGAAATATGCTTTGATTTTCCACTTCAGTATCTTTTCCGATGAGAAAATGAATCTAGTTGGTGCGTTAGGGAGTTCTAAATTTAATATTTCCAGTAAGAAGTTTTCAAAAGCTCTAAAAAAAAAAACTCTACTCACCCTCTCTCCCCCGCAAAATGACACATTTAAAATGTTTCCCCCTTCCTCATATAGTTGTATTACCCTACGCATATGGGTATATTGCGTTTTTACTTAATACGGTGTACCTATATATTATGACACAATTTATAAATTGTAAAGGTTAGGTTACACATTTTAATTATTAGGAAAATATGCGATTCTCGACGAATGGACAAATATATACATAGGTACGCACACACACATTATATAAATATTAGTGAAAAGCCGTGACAAAAAACGGCAGATGCCAACCGGTGCCAGGGGACTTTTCATGTACGAATGGGTTGACGGGATGAGCGGACGACCGGAAATACAGTTTACATGACTACTGTGGCAAAATGTTAACAAGACATGCGACACACAACGGGCCGCCTGAAACAGAATGAACGGAGGCGGCCTGTCCAAACAGCGTACCTACCTACCTATATATTATAATATACCTACCCATAAATTGTGTGTATTCATTATACTTATTACTTATCTTACTCTGCAGAATTTTGAGTATACGGCCAACATAATATTTATAGACAAATAATACATGGGTAGTACACAAGTGTGCCTCAAAATGTTTCTCCTAGTTGATAATCAATAATCACCTAATGCATATGTATATAATAATGAATAAATCAATACAAAATTCCTCTACCCACCTATTTTATAAGCTCAAAAACTAATACACAATAGCATAAATACTTAATAGAAATCAATATTTTAACTTCTGAAATTACTGCAATATTCGTATATAAATCGGCTAAGTACCTACTTTAAAAGTTAAGATATCATTAAAACTTAAATTGAACGATTGTTATTTCAAGTTTAGATAAACACAAAACAATATGAAATTATATATTTTAATAGCTCTCTATTATTGTTATTAAAAAAAAATTGTAGTATTAAATTGAACCAAAATATCTTTTAAATTTATTTACAAAAATGATTCCTTATTTCCTATATCCCTTATATCAGCGTACTTTTCTGACCCATAACTCATAATAAAGAAGCATTCCACTTTTGAGTTAGGAGTTTTAAATATCCAATATTATGTTGTTAGCTTTAACAATAGAGTGAAATAACTCATTAATTAACTAATAGAGATTATAGAATATTATCTAAGACGACATAGACACCTCAAAGGCATTCATTAATATAATTTAAAAGTAAATTATAACATAATTATAAAATAGCCGTACAAATTGCTTTCAAATTAAAATACCTACCAATCAAAAGCCTAAAATCGCCCTTGATAGAATTCTTAACTTTAAATTTAATGATGGCCAATTCACTCTTTTATTTTTAAATTTAAAAACACTAATTTGCATTAATTTCTGAACACAAGTTTTGCTATATTGCTTCGAGGATTATTACAGAGAGAAAATAAATAGTGCAGAACTGACATACTCTTGAATCAAGCTTATTTTATAGATGAATATTTAAAGGTAATAATAATTTTAAATATTTCTAAAAATAACAACAGACATATTTATAAAAATAAATACAAAATGAATTTTCAGAAAATGTATATTATCTGTAAGTATAGGTACTTGTATGATGAAAGTACTTTAGACTTAAACAAGGTCGACGCTGAGTCAAAACTTTATATTTGTTATTTGATATGGTCTGTTTTACGTATTTAGCACAAGATTAAGTACATGTGATACAGTATTTAAAATTGTACAAAAAATTATGAACTCAACAAAAAAAAATACTGACTGAAGAATAAGCACGACAAGATACATCATAATATATTGTATTATTATACTCATGCCCTACATATTAAATATCTACCAGATACCGACAACTCAGTCTCAGTGAAAGGTAATCGAACGATACAATTAT